CAGTGGGATATGATAAAAGGAATCTTGCCAAGTCAATAGATCAACTTGGGGGTGTCCATCAAGAGGACAAGGAGGCATACACAGGATGAGGATGACCAGTGTCATCCTACATTCTTGATTGGATTGATAGGTGTCAAATTGATGGTGGTATTCTGAAATTAAGTGTCAGTAGGAAGAGAGGGATCTTGAGTGTTATTTAGGTTATGAGACAACAGACAGAGATCAAAGTGGATGAGAGCGTAGGTTGGGCTTTGATGACATCTGCAAGGGCATGAGGGTGATAGAAAGGGTGGTGGAGTTTGCCGGAAATCAAAGAAGGTTGGGACAGTGATCTTTGCTGCAGCTGAAGCTGTATGCCATTTGTAACCTGTGTTTATGGTGTATGCTGATGGGGTGCAAATCTCAACTGTGGTGAGGAGATTTGTTGGAAAAGACACCAAATGTTTACATTGAACTTTGAGAGTAAAATCAGAGTTTGGGGCCTTATACAGATATTCACACCCTACATTTTTACCCTTGATATTCTATGTAAAATATCATGTGTGAAAGTATACATTTGGTGTGGTGTTGTACAGTTTTACACAAAATACTTCACACATGAATGATTTACACTTGAAAAATTGGGTGACTGTGTGTATAAGATTGTATTTCACCTTATGTAACATACAGTTTCAGGCAATCAAATTTACACTCCTCATTAAGGAGGCTCAGGTCAAAAAATAATGGTTCTTAAAAACCCAGGAAAACTTTTCATGGTAGAAAACTTTTCATGGTAAAGCACCTTAAGAAAATTCCTGTTTTGTAAATTAAGATGCTCAGCAGCAGTCAACAGGGATCAACAGCTTATTCTTTTCTTTTCTGGGTGTCTGCTGCATATCATATCAGTCTTGACACTTTTCTTTGGTTTTTCACCTCACATTGTTTGTCTAGTTTTCTTTGTTTATAGGCTTTTTGGTTTTCTCATTGCTGTAAATTTATGTAAATTCATTGCTCATAAAAACTTGGGATGTTTTTAAACAAATGCCATTTCCATAAAATTTACACAATCCTTTATGAAATCAGGATTTCTTTTTTATGGTCAAAGCTGCAAAACTGCTTGACCTGAGCTGCCGTATTGAGTGTACATTGTTGCGTGTAAAATTCCCCTAAGTCACAGTATACTACTGCTTGATAGCAGCTCACCCTCTATCCCCCAATATGAGTAATGTTTCTTCCTCTTGAGTAAGTCTCTCACAATTCCTTGAAAGCAGTCTTTATCTGGTGATCTGATGAACTTGATTCTCTGTCTGCAACTCTGGTTTCACATTGTATGCCACAAATTACAATATCTTGTTGCTAGTCATTGAGTCTTACTACTTGAGAAATTCAAGAAACACATTATTTAAACCTCAACTTCACTGTACTATCTAACACAACAATTTAAGCACAACGTAACTTATAAATGTATGGAAAACAAATGGTTCATCAACTGTACTCTTTATTTTCTTGGGATCTCATACCCATTTTTTTGGCTCCTTCAAAACTTTCAAGACCTTTTCCTCTTCGGATCCAGCCTGAGTGCCAATTTGAGGCATATATTCCCATCGACTGGTGAGAGGTAAACTCATTAGGATACTTTCGACCCTGGCACCAGGAGTGGCAAGACCAAACTTAGTACCACGATCATGGACCAAGTTGAACTCCACTGTTTTGAAAAGAACAAATTCGTATGATTAGTATTATATACTTCAACAGCTAGTAGAGATACTGACCATATCGACCTCTACGAAGTTGTTGCCAGCGTTTTTGATGATCAGAGTATCGCATCCATTGCCTTTGTTCAATGATTGGCATATAGGCCGGCAAGAAGCTATTCCCAAGTCCTCGTACAAAGTCAAAGAGCTTTTCCATATCACCTCCTAGATCATCAAAGAAGATCCCTCCCACTCCACGTCGTTCTCCGCGATGAGGTATATAAAAGTAATCATCACACCATTCTTTAAAACAAGGATAATAAGATTTATCGTGTTCATCACAAGCATCTTTTAGTGTGCGATGAAAGTGAATTGCATCTGATTCGAATAAATAAGAAGGTGTTAGATCGGTACCACCACCAAACCAAGATACTTTTGGAATTCCTTCTGGTTCTTTTGGATCATCAATTTCAAAGTATCGATAATTGAGATGGACGGTTGGTGCCATTGGATTCACGGGATGAACCACTAAACTAAGTCCGCACGCGAAAAAAGGTAGTTCGGTAGTACCATCCCACCAACCAAATCGATCTTCATCAATCCTTGCACGCATTTGACGTACAGCTGCAGGAGGTAGTTTTCCATGTACAACTGATACATTTACACCTGCCTTTTCAAATACGGAACCATCTTGAAGTACGCACGATGTACCGGATCCACCAGCTTCGCGTAACCAATGATCCCAATGAAATGAAGTGCTTGGATCGAGAGCTTCGAGGGCTTGGACGATATCTTTTTGTAGACCTTCGATGTATGCTGGCATCCGGGTGCGCATCGGTAAAGAGCGATCGTTCATGATCTTTGTCAATTGTTCAGCTGTGCGTCGAGGCCGATCGATCTAAGGAGTCATAGATATCATATCGTGTTAGCAAGAGTTCTAATCGGTGAGAAATTATCGGACATTTACTTGTTTTTCTTCACCTAAAAAGGTCGATGAATTTTGAATAACCTGTGGAATGATACAAGCAGAGATGCGAGGTTTGAGTGAATAAGTTGATTCGTATGCTGATTAGAGATTGATTGAGATGACCTTTTGAGGTGATGAGATCCAAAGCACGCATGATCCAAAGACTGTCAGGGAAGCCAGGATGATGGGATTCGTGAATCGTAGCCACCCCTCAGACAGAGGTGTTGATGAGTCGAACCGAGCATGGCCGGAATACGAGAATCGGGATGAATCGTGACCAAATGAGCCTTTAGGATATGTTGAAGGACTACGGCGGATCTAGGAAGATCAGAACTTCGTGTCAGCTGAAGGTTTGAGGTAGGGATGAAAGCACTGACGCTTAACGATGGACGATGTCTTCGAGCTGGAATTGAGGGTGGTAATCTCGAGTTTGTAGAGATCGAAAGGAAAGCGAATCGATTTGAGAGAGAACGATTGACTGGGGTCATCTCAACCTAAGGTCAAGAAGTGTCTAAAAACCAGGATCCTGATCGTGCGGAGTAGAGGTGAGACGTCGTCGGTGGCGTGAGACTTGAGAGTTTAGGTCAGCTTGATCTTGTTTTCCATGCGTCATTCAGGCTTTCTGACCTTCACAGTGACACCTCGTTCAAGTACACAACTACTCCATCCAGCCCCATCACACTTTCAGATCAACCGCGAGTATGCCGGGGGCATCCAACCTGGCATCTCTCATCTCAAAACAGTCGTACAAAGTATATGGAGACAGCCGTTCAACTTCCAGGTAACAACCCCTGGCAATTATGTAAAAGGGCATTCTGATGCTTGTAAATGTCTGATCTTCGTCTTCGAATGGATTTTTCACGGCATTGACTATTCTTGATTGATGTGTTTGGAAAGGGCTTCAAAACACTTATCATTAATCATAAAGGCAACTTGTTAATAGACTTCGAGGTCTGCTCTTTGGTTCCATATGATCCTGATCAAAGTCCAGAGCATAGTGGCCGGCGGCACTGTGCAGCGGAGCTCGGACGAGGATCATATGTAGCTTCATTTACCCATGTAAAACCATGTAAGAGGCCATACCCTGACAATAATATGTAGTCTTTATGAGTCTTCAGGAATCAGGATCTTTCTCATCAAGTGCATCTTAAACCTTTGAGTCCTTTGCTTATTGTTTATAACATCAAAAAAGGTGTATCTATCTCACTGTTGTTACTGATCTTTCATAGGGAATTCTAGTCTGGAAGGTTTATCCAGCGTGCTTGGTGTGTGTTAGTGTGATACTTGTGATATATTCTGTGTCTTCTCATCTCTGGTTTTCACTCTCTTGAGAGGATGTAGACTTTTGTGCAGCTTTTATTGAACACCAGGAACTCGAAGAATGTAACAAGATCATCTAGATCTGCTTGTGATGATATCAAGTGTAGGTAACAAACAAGACCAATTGATACTTTTTTGCTTTAAAATTGTATAAAACCTTCCTTAAGAATTGTGATCAATGAGAATGAAAGATGATGGGTACATTCTTACGAAGCCTTTTAAATTGATTTCATGAATACAACAAAATTCCAAACATTCACAATGGAAAGCAGCACAATGGGTTCTGGTATATGTATGTTGCATCTCCCCAAATACCCTGTGTGTGGTGAAATCATTCTCTTTGAAAGGTTTGGAAGTGGTTTTTGTTCATATCCACAGTATAACTTTCTTAAGGTAAGATTATAGGTTTTTGTTGATGTGCTGGCTGTTTGAGAAATTCAGCCGTTGGTAGTTTCCTTAACTGAACCAATTATCAGCTTCATAGATTATTTTAGAGCATTCAATATTGTGATGGCATGTCTATGAAAGTTGACGGATTGGCGCCGAGAATCTTTAGGGGAGCTAATACCTGGTCAAGTATTTAGTTGGCATATGCACATGCAAGAGTGGAATAGAGTGTTTGGGGCTTGATGAGACTTGGTTATATTTTTTAATGTGGAAAAAGGCATCATGAGGGCTAGCTTTGCCGTTCATTGTTTCAACTTCAAGAAATCATATCTAAAGGTAGGGTCGTAAATTTCAAAGAAGACAGAATGATTATGCATTACTGCTGAAACAGATAATAAATAGGAAAAAGACGAAAATAACAGAGCAAGTACACAGAAAAAGTCAACGGTAATTAGAGTCCATTGAAGTTTGCTTTGTGAACGGGTTTGTCCAATTGAGACTGCTTCAAGAATAAACCAATGATGGACCGCCTTGGCGGTCAATGGCAGGTATGCTGACATACCCGAAGGGTGAGAAAGGACTGGGTTGAACAGTGTAACATAAGTCCCAAGTAGGCGCTTAGTAGGCTTGGTGCAGGCCAATCAAAGTGGGTCGACCGTTCGCCCCGGGCGCGTAACCCTCCTTGACCGACAATACAACCTGATAGATAGCATCTCAGCACCGTTCTGGTAAATGAAAGAAGATAGATGAGAGCTCTGCTTACACATTTGCCCTCGAGGCATCCAACACCGTCCGCTCCTTCAATTAAGAGGCAGTTCTCTCCTTCTTTCTTCGATACACATCCACCGCAGGAACCGACTTCCACTTTAAGCTGAAATGTGAGGAGTTTTCAGCGATGTACAAAGCAATTGTAAAGATCTATGATCACTCACATCGAGACATTCGTAACCACCGTCCACAGAGTTGATAGGGCAGGAGGTCTCCGAATTCTCTGTAATTGCGTCCAATGAGCTTCTATACAGATAACTGCGCTAAAGAAGTTTACTTACGACAAGCTCTGATTTTGTGGGAAGTCGAGCGACGGAAATAGCCACTATGAGCTTGACTGGGTTTAGGGCGAGGGGCATAGTCTGAAGATGGGGGCGTGTAGCTGCTGCCATAGCCTTCTTTAGAGTATGAATCATCATCGTCAGATTCGCCTGAGTTAGGGGCAGGCCATTGCCAGATGTCTTGACAGCCTTTCTGAACGCTTCGGTATGTCGCCTGGAAGGAAAAAGGTAATGAATACCCGTCCAAGAGAAAATGGAAAAAGCAACTGAACCTACTTGAGATTGAGACATAGGGGATTTGTACTCAGGAAACGATTTCATTTCAGGTTGTGCGTAGATTGAATTCAGCACGTTTCCACACAAAGACAATCGAGTTCGGACTTGATTGGCCTGGGATGAACCACGAGCGTTCCAAGGCGCGTGTAGGAATCCCCCCTGGAGTTGACCAAAAGCACCTTGTGCGAGTTTCAAGTGTGATTGTGCTTGGTCACATTTGTTGGTGATTTGGGTGTGCCTGTATTTGTGCAAAGCATTAGTGCCCTAAATCCACATATGATACAATGCATATCAAGATCGACCACTCACCCATGGGCCTGTGAGACTTGTCGGATCCGTGCAATAGAGGCTTGCAAAGTGTTCAAGGAAGAGCCCACTCCGTTGGACGTTGCCAAAAATGAAGTAGCCTGGATGTAAGGAGCGGCCGCGAAAAGCAGAGCAAGGACTAGGAATTTCATCGTGACAGATTTGAATAGGCAGTTAAGTTGGTTCGTCTAAATGCCACAGTTTGAAAGTGAAGGAACAAAAGGGGTGCAAGGGTATTAGCACAAATGCGTGTTTGATGGAGATGGAGGTGTAAAGAGAACAGTTTAAGAGGTAGGATAGGTCAATACTTGCAAGAGAAGATTGAATCAATCAAAAATAGATAGAGAGCGTAGGGTTTCTGTAGAGAATATATATGAAGAAGGAATGAAACAATGAAAGATAATTGAGGTTTAATACGGCGACCGGAACACACCAAAATCACTGATTATATAGTAGACTTATCAGATTGGTAGTGGATTGTGGATATCCAATTCAGCTTAATCGATGCGTGCACAAAGAAAGACTAGCTGTCGCTTCCCAAGAGCACGGATGCTGGTAGTCAGTGTGAGCTCACGGAACGAAAAGCAATTCAAGACCAAGGTACATTGCGCGGCTTCACAGTTTGTTCTGTGATGACGAGCGCTAGCAGATGGGATATGCCCTGATATGCCTCGCTATGCTCAACCTGTCAATACCTTAATCAATCATCCCTACCGCAGTGGAATCACACACCGAACAGAGCAATCTGCGGATCGCCATGACCTGCATAAAAGGACGAGCTCACTAAGAGCCGGGGGTCCTCGGGCTTTGCCGAGTGAAGACAGCGGAAACACACACACCTTATCAGCGTAATCGCGAGTCGACAAGCATATCCTGTGTGATGGGATCCGAGCTTCGTGTTAACAGCCCATTTCAGGTGTCAAGTACACATCAAGCTTGGTCCTATCTGATGATGTCCCTGGTGAGCGACCGATGACCGAATTTTTTTGCTCTTCGTCCCTGATACACGACACTGTTTTTTTTGGTTCGCTGGGAGGAGGATTAAATTTTTTAGTGGTGGTCCACGAACCTAAAACTTTACTTGTAATTTACCCAGATATATCTTGCTCATTTGGTTAAATCACAAAAGATCAGATGGAGGCTTCCTTTTGAAATTGGAACTTGGGTCTGAAAAAGATTTTCTCAAAATACAAATGCATCTCTCAATTTGAGACATTATACATCTTATCGAATGCCGAATTCGCTCGGTCGGGAATGTTCGGATTGCTCTGTGCTAAAGGGACTTTTTCAGATCATTACCCTTTATGGGGGCATTCCGCGGTCCTGCTCAGTCCTCATCACCGCTCAGAGACCTAGTAGAGGCAGAGGCCTAAGAGGCTAAACCTTGCAGAATCTATCACCTTAAACTTTGTGACAAATTGATTCGAGATGTGCACTGAGCCCAGCAAACCAGAAAGCAAGACAGGCCTCGATTACCCTGGGTCATTGCTATTTAGTAAAGAGTGATGAAAAACTTATAGTCAATAAACTATTTGTCACATCTCTTCTTGATAGGAAGAAAAAGCCGAATTGAAAAATTCTATGATTGCACCTGTGGCCGCGGCGAGGACGTATGCACCAAAAATAGACATTCCTCTGTCAGAGGTATCGGGGGAAGATACAAAAGCTTATCAATGCGCTTAACGAGCTTCCTAGATAACAATCAAAGGTCATGATGGACGAATGTGGGTCATTTAAGAAACAGAATATTGCACAGTTTGATATCCTTTCAGCTCACAACCAGAAATAGTAAAACGAGGGGGATACCATGACTTAGAGATACATGGCCCAATGGCCGTTAAAACAGAAATGTGTAAGGGCGCACGTACTTGCGCACCTACCTGAAATCCAATATTGAAAATAGCGAATTTATTTGGAAGAAGATGCAAACTGATTAAGATTGAAATGTGCTAAGCGCCAGATCACGATGGTTAACATCAGAACGCGACATTTGCTGTTACTGCCAAATGTCTAAAAGAATACATCTATTCCTCAGCTTTGTTGCTTCAATGTACGTGTTCAAACTTTTAAGCATGCTTGTTGTTTTAGGATAGACGCGTCTTGAGATATTCTGACACTGTCAACAGTTTGACGCCTCGCAATTGTTGCTTCATTGTTTTTTTGCCTTTCCCTTTTCATGTAGTTTGAAACCTCGAATGGGCACCAAGAGTTGTGGAGTCAATATCCACACTTGGGAATCTAATCAAGATCATTGTGTTTCTTCATGTATGTATACGGCTCTCACTCTTTTGTGGTCTTTTCAAGCTTGTTTGACTGCCTTCGCGTACGGTAATTTGCAGTACACAAATCGCGCGGCGTGAAATTATGAAGAGCCAAGAGCTAAGAGCTATCATTTTTTGACTTTTGGCAGTATCTTCAGCGGTGGGCGCTGCTGTTCATGTGAGTGACTCTCGGCGATCTATTCCTCAAAGCTTGTACTTTCGCAAGTCAGAGGCGTGCAGGGTCTCTGAGTTCAGCCAGTCGGTCCATCAGTGACATCTAGCACATCACTGGGCTCGAAGTGCCGCTTGTAAATGTATCGCCACGGTCATCAGACGCAGAGGGGATCATGAGCGACCTGTTTCCCCGTAGACTTCCTTTCGTACCGGCTCAGGAACAGTCTCTGGAATGCTTCTGCATTCCGAGGTAGACGTATCCAAACAAAGGTCAATTGACTTGAACAAGAAGTCAAGAGATGGCGAGTTTAAGAGGCCATAAGTCATCGGTTCACGGCACAATGGTCATGGGGTGCCTGAGGAAGGAACGACGCACCGGTAAATCAGTCTGATTTCTATCCTACTCACTCCGGCTGGTTGATATTTAACCAATCCATTTCCTCTTCTTTCCCCCTAATCGTTCCACCACAAGTCTTCAATCAATTATTGTTGCAACTCACAAAAATCATCCTTCTTCCTTTTATCCTACTTCAACAAGCTGCTGTTCTCCTGATTTATTGCGAGCTGTGCGAATTTTACTTTGAATCATCCATCAACACACACCTATCTATAAAACGTCGGCCGCAATGTACAATCCGAATCTCTCCATGACCTATGTGATCGACCCGAGGTATCGACCTATGCAGACGGTTGTCCACAACGCACCAACCGCTTACCAGGTTGCAGCCGCTTATCATGCTGGAGTCCAAGTGAACCCACAGCGGGTGAGTCATTGGTCTATGTTTCAAGTAGAACAAGTATTCAAGGCTCAATTCCACTGTCTCTCCAAGATCTACTACATTCAGAACTCGCCCAATCCGCATCCTCTACAGCAGACTCAGAACTACATCAACTACGCTCAGTCTCAGAACCACGCACAAATCGGCACTCATGCCCATAACCACGCCCAGAACCCTATTCAGAAGCGCGTGAAGATAAGCCACCCCCAGGAGACCCCCGCCAAGGTCTACAAACGCAGCTCTCCCCAAATGGTCCTTCAGAAACGGGCCCACAAGCAAAGCCACCAGCAAGCCCAGAGGTCGCAGATCCGCGCCAAGGGCACCCCCCAGACTCAGACCCAGCCCCTCGCTCAGATTAACGCTCAGCCCCTTGCCCAGATTCACGCCCCTACCCCCGTAAAGATTCACGCCCAGGGCCATGCCCAGATCCACACGCAGAGCCCCGCTCAGGTCAACGCTCAAATTAATGCTCAGCCCCTCGCCCAACTTCACGCCCCAACCCCCAAGATTCACGCCCCAACTCCCGTAAGGATTCACGCCCAGGGCCCTGCCCAGATCCACACGAAGAGCCCCGCTCAGATCAACGCTCAGCCCCTCGCCCAGCTTCACGCCCAAACCACCGTAAAGATTCCCGCACATGCACCTCTCAGACTCACACCCAAACTCCCAAGACTCCTGCCCAAACCACCGTAAAGATTCCCGCCCAGGGCCCTGCCCAGATTCCCGCCCAAGCTCCCAAGATTCCCGCCCAAACCACCGTAAATATTCCCACCCAGAGCTCTGCCCAGATCCCCGCCCAAACACCCGTAAAGATTCCTGCCCAGGGCCCTGCCCAGATCCTCACACAGAGCTCTGCTCAGAAGCCCAAACAAAACCTCGCACAGAAGCCCGTCAAGCACGACGCTCAGAACTCCACACGCAGGCCTCAAGCAGTACGGGTAGATAGGCTCCAGGCTCCAGCTCCTTGGAAAACCAACTTAGAACGCCTTATGGATGATATCGAGTCTGATCAAGAATTCGGCTATTCACCAGAATTTCATATGAAGGTTATGGCTGCTTCGAAATTTTGTGTTGCTTTGTATGCTTCTTACGCTTCTTCTACTTCTACTAAGTAAGCTTACTGCATCGGTGAGTTATTTTTACTCGAGTGTATGCTGCCGATATAGTTCTTCAGATTTCACTTACTCTGGTTTCCGTTTTAGGCTTGTTCTTTATAGTCTCATCAGTGAGGTGATCTTTTATTATGAGGAATTGGGTCCGGGGTTGTATTCTTTAGTATCTTGAATATTGTTTTCTTTTTTTACTTAGTTTTCTCTATTTCTCGTTGTTGTTGTGAGATGATAAGTATCAGTTTTTCATCTGTGTGGTGTTTTTTTATATCAAAGTCTGATCAGTTTAAACTATATTTGAATCTCGAAATAAAGACAAGCCACACATTTATATCAGTCAAATCAGAGAACCATTGAGGGTCGTGACTACACCTTGTAGCAGTCAACTTGCTTGGGTTCATGACTAGATTTGACATGAAATCAATCCTCTTAACCGACATCATATAACCTTACACAACAACACTTCAAAAATGTGTCGCGATCCTACATTGGTTTAAAAAAGAGTTGGGCATCCAATGAAGGCCCTAAACGCAGCACGAGTGTCCTCTCCGTCACATTAGATGATCTGAATTTACTAGTGAGAACCCCTCTACGTGGCAGTCTCAGAAATTCCAGGATTATATAAGAGAAGCACGACGACTGACACTTTGCCAACCTCTTGGTTAAAAAAATGCGATTACGACATATTCACATCTCTCTACAAACATCTCCGTCGATATATTCACAGAACAATCTGTGTCATGAAGAGTAAAGTACTCTATGGAAACCTTTACCCAAGTTTGCTGGACGTGCAGAATATGGCCAAGTCATCAGAATGCAACGTCAGACTCCTACTAACCGCATAGCATCGGTCTTGGAGTCATCTCAGCTCCAACGTGCTCCCTAGCGGATGTGCCTTTGACGCAAACAAAAATGATGATGTATATCACATAGCGACAATAGCAGTGAATTTATCTGACAAAAACAGTCCCTCTAAGAAGTCTCCTGTAATTTTGTATCGACCACTAAGAGAATGAAACAAAAATATCAGTTTAGAATTCCACAAAACTAATCACAAGCTATCCAACTTACGTTCACGAAAGCTAGAAATAATTTGTCCTTCTCTCTTAGATTTCTCTTCAGCACTGATAACTTGATTTTCTTTCCTGATTCGCACCGCATTCATTCTTCTATGCCTTGAACCTGACATCACATATCCTGCTTGCTCAAACTGCAATAAATGAACAGAGAAATATCGTAAAATAGTCAGTGAGAAGTGAAGTTATAAATCAAGAGTGTTTTGTTAAAGTCACTTACCTTTTCAATTTGTGGACCTTTCTGGACCTTTCAACCCAATCTCACCACGACGAGGGATACGTTCACCGGCTTCAATGGAAGCAGCCATTGCACTACCTTCACCGGGCCGCAGCGCACAGCCGAATTCTTTGGGATCCATTGCTTTACCCGCGACCGGATTATACGGCATTGGTCCCACTTCTGTTGGATCTGAGTCCGAGTCCTCTTCTGGAGCTTCTACAACTGCCAAGACCGGAGGAGCTGGAAGAGATGGTCCTTTGATACTTCCCTTACAAGGAGCTGGGGCTCTCATCACTGATTTTTCCTCCCACACAATTTCTTCTTCCTCGCGGGTAGCTTTGGGCCCAACTTCTTTGATACTTGGCGTAGAATTTCACACTTGAGCCTTAACACATGACATATTTTCACTTGAAATAATGCACAAATTTGATGTAAGATTGTATTTCACCTTATGGAACACGGAGCTTTACACACAATTGGAATTACATTCCTTATTGAGTGTGTATTGTTGTGTGGAAAAATCTCCTAACCCACAGTATACTGCTTGATGACAGCTCTTATTTCCTGTCAATATGCTGTAAGACATTTGCACCTTGTGTAGTGATAGTTCTTTGATATAGAGATGGATGCAGCAGAGGCAGACCATAGTGAGAAAAGGTGGTTCAAATCTCACAATTCAGCTTGCATCTGCTTTCAATATTATCCACTTGGCTTGCCGCACAAGTTGAGTCATAATTGCAGAATTTGTTCTGCAAAGTTTTTCTTTCAGCTACATAAACAGAAATCCTTGCATCACAAAATTGGTGACCATTTCTGCAATATGGATTTCCACATCTTGTCACCTTGACTTGAAGCTTGCCTGTCTTAGCTGTGATTGTATATGTAATTGTTGAAACCAGCATTAAAGTTTTCAGAATGCAATTTCTGAACAGAAATTGAAGTGAATGTGTTCTTTCTTACAATACAAAAATACCCTTCTGAATCTGTCAGTTTTTCTTCAAAGCTCAATAACTCATTCAATTTATATGATGAAGTTTGGTGAACTGTATATCCTTGATCTGTAAATACAGGAGCTAGTGTTTACAAATTTGTGATGTCAGATGATGAAGATTTTGGTAGTTTGACAGGCAAATGCCCCCACAGTGATGTTATGTCAAGATCATTACAAGAATATATTGAGAATATGTTGATGTTGCTACCTGGGGGCCGTGAATAGCAGTACACAATTCCATTCCAGCCCATCTGAATTTTTGGTCATGTGAGTTTTTGATGTTTGTGTACCCCAAATACTTAAATGTGCTTCTGAACCTACAAAAACATTCAACTTTTGTTTATAATTTTTGTACAATACAAGTGAATGTTGCAAAGAAAGGTGTTAATTCAATCCATGATCAAGCCTTGAAGAAAAAAAAGAAATTGATTGAAGAGAAAATGATTACACAACCCATGAGGTGTGATGTAGATCCAAATAAGTTTGATGTAGGTTTTAATTGATATATTAGAATTTCAATCACCCACCTCCATGCTTAAATTCAACAATACCTAAAATAAAGAGTTGTTATAAATAGATTTGATATCACAGTCTGTTTGTCTTCTTTTTAGGGTACTCTCTTTTTATCCCAAGGGTCAAGAGTATCTCAAAAACTACTTATCATTTTTTCATCAAGACTCCTGGAAAATAACTCCTGATAAATCTCCTTTTTACACTTTTCAAATTTCAATACAAACAACAAGGCAAAAAATAAGTGGTGAAAAAATAACCGCAAAATAAACCAAACTTGACAAAGTCCCTTGCAGGTGGTAAGACCCAAAGCCTGCGTAAGGACTTACACTGAGTGTGGCCTTCCTGTTGTGAGAGGTTGTGAGATGTAGTCTAATTTAATCAAGTCCAATCTTATGCCTTGTCTATTTGATGTTTGTGGGATTTTTCCACTACTATATCCGTAGGGTTCTATTAGGAGGGGGTGTAGCAAGTTGGTCAGAGTTTATGACCGCCTGACACAACTCAGATTGTTAAGGTAGGTTCGTTGTTACAGGAATCTGGAGACCTCGAGGAGGTAACCTTGTAACCACTTCCAATAAAAAGGGTCTCTTAATCTCTTTGAGGTTTAAGGTTGTTTTCTTACTGGGGTGGTGTGGGGGTATGCCCCGGGTAAACGGGTCCCGGTGGTAGACGTCTACCACCGATATGACCTGCTCAACTGGGTCGAGAACAAGGAGACCCGATGAGGTCTTCTCTTCCCCAACACTCACGGGGGACTGAGCCGTGAGCCTAGAGAAGACCCCATCCCTCGGTCCTCCGTGAGACCCCTACACCTTCACGTGATATTCGCCCTCACATGTAACAACAAGGTGGGTAAAAGAACTTTCCAAGATTTTAAGTTCACTAAGCTAGCTATACCGAGATTTAAGTTCACCTGTACAGTACATGTAGAAAAGAGGTACAAGACCTCTCGGAAACCTTTAGAAGAAACGGAAGCACGCTTTGGCAGCCTATGACAAACTCTGAGCGGCTCGCTAGACCTCCGGATTACGTAGGACGTGCCCACTCCAAATCTTTTAGCAACTTCACCGTCGACTTCAGATCTTTCGCCGAGAACTTCCTGAGATAGATCATGTAGGCATCTGATGCCCAACGACCACATCTTTTCAGTTCGTCCTTATCTGCACCCAGGTTCCATCGGAGAGATGCACCGCTGATCCTGAACGAGTGCCCATGAAGGAGCTGCTTCTTTTTCGAGCGCTTCTCGTTCCAGATTAACCTGAACTGATTTATGGTTTCTACTTTCCCCAAACGGCACTTTTGGCCGTTTTTCAGATACGAGAAGATTTCGTCCCTCGGTTTCCTAGGTCTGAACGCGAACCACAACTCTAGCATTGAAATAGGGTCCAGTAAAGAGTCTGTTCTATGTAGGTAAATCCATTGAGTTTCTCCTGGGCTAGCGGTCTTTGCGTTATGGACGGCGATTTTTGCGTAGGATTTATCTTTGGCCCAGACTAGGTCGTCCCATCTTGGCGTCGATTTCTTTGGATCATCTGTGATCAATTCACCTAGCCGGGCCGTTCCCCAGAACGCCACTAGAGCTACTGTTAACATAGCTAGCTCTCGCTCACCCTTGGTCAACAACTCTTTGAATAGAATGACCAGATCGGATACAAGGACAGGAGGGCGTTTCTTATCTGCTTCCGCCAACTTTGCCTCGATCGTTTTCGATGCCTTCAGCAGAGGGCGAATGGACTCGTCGACTTTTGAGGGATAGTCGACCCCATGGTAATTATGCCACGCCTTGATTCCTGCTATATAAGCTTTGAGAGTCGAGGATTTAACTGATTCATCCGTCGCTGCCAACTTCTCGTCTTTGATAGATGCCCATACTACGAATTTCCGCATCAGCGTGAATGAAATGGGAAGGAGGAGGGACTTGTCGATTCCTTTGACCGTGGCGAATCTATGCAACTTGATGATACCAGAGTTGTATCCTTTCAAGGTTCCGTCACTCCAGGCTCCTTGCAAAAAATGTTGCTTTACTTCATCCGATTCCGAATCATCGACTCCTAAGGCATCCTTCCTAAATGCTCCGAACGGCTTCAACACTCTTCGCAAATCCTTAGGTTTGTCCTGTGGTTTGGTCCTTGTTTTTCTCATTGAGGAGAGGCGATATGTGAGGATTGGTGGGAGATAAAGGCGTTCGACTAACCGACCGGAAGTTTTGGTTCCAGGGAAACCTGCCACATCAACTTGGACAAGTCTTCCGGGATCTCCACTCGGACTTCGTGGGCCCACAAAAGTGTGCCTAGAATTCCTCTGGATAAACCATCTGCCGGGTTATCATTAGACGCGACACGTTTCGCCTTCACATTACATTCTAACAAGGTGAGCAGTCGCTGGATTTGTTTCCACTCCTCGTTCACCCAAACATCTTTTGACTTCTGTTTGTCTACCGTAGATTGTGATGTTGTGTTGTCAGTCCACACTACAAACTGTTTCCCTGTCGACAATTGCGGACGGGGACATTGTCAGCGAAAACATAACACCTAAGATAGGTAGACTGATCGGTCTAGTGCCTACCTGCCACTCTTCTCAGCCGGCCCACTACCAACATGCCAAGGCGAATTGCCGCAGTTTCCGCCCAAGCAATGGATTGCTTCTTGTCTGACAGGTTCAGTGTTTGCCACCCCGTCTGGAACTTGAAACACGCCCAGTGGTGACCTACCAGTACACCAATCCCAAAGGACAAGGACGCATCACCTGCCCAACCAATTTCTAGGGCTTTTGATTCCGGTATTAGAGGTCTCGAGTTGAAGGTACGTAGACACAAGTCCCATTCTTGTAAATCTGTTCTAGCTCTATCTGTCAGGTGACGAAGGGCCTCTCTATTCTTCCAACTTTTCATCATTCGATAAAGAGAATTAACGTATGGTTTCATGTGCGGGACAATGTTCATTGTATGCACCAGTCTACCGGTCACTTGTTCGATTGATTTGAAGGAGCAGGGTTTTGGACCAAGTAAGTCTGTAATCTGCTGTCGTCTCTCCTGAAGTTTTCCGACCGGTAATCTGACAGTGTGATCCATTCCATTCCAGATAAAACCCAAGAACTTCTGTTCATCGGCAAATTCATGGTTCTTGACGGGGTTCGTTTGTACTCCTAAACTGTTGCTTAATATCTCTACTGTCTCTAATGATACCGCGTCTTCGGGGCGCTTGAACAGGAGATTATCATCGACCCACCGGAAGATCTTCCTTACTCCAGTAAGCCTTTCCATTATTTGTTTCCAAATGTGAGCTGGAGCTCCAAATACTCCACAACTAGCGACTCCTCCAAACCCTACCGCCAGATCAACCCAAAGACGGCCCTTGAAATCCATAATGATTAAGAAGCGGCGTTGGCAAGGGTGGACCGAGAGTTGACGATAGGCTTTTTGCCAGTCGAAGATGGCTACCATCCATCTCCCTGGGCAGCGTCTAAAGAACCTGGCTACACAATTGAAATTGTCCCACTGTGTTCCGTAATTGTGTTTATTTACAAACGAATTTACTGACGGAATGTTTGCATCACGTTTCGGGAATGACAGGTCATTAATCAACCGTATTGAACCGTCTCCATTTACCGCGCTGCCCATTGGATTAGAACGGAAAAAACCAAACTTTTCCCTTAGTTGTTTATGGGTAAACGGACACGCTATTTGGCCCGCTTCAAGTTCCTTTGCCAGGGTACGTTCGATTTGGGTCTTGGCCGCCAGTGCTTACTTGTGGTTTGGCGGAGTATACCACGGCATATCTGGGAGGGTATGTTGTGGTATTCCAAGACAGAATCCATTTATGAAACCATTGCTGATGTACGGAATGCACTTTTCTAGACCTGATTCTTTCATCAACTCCTCCCACTCGTTGATCTTCATACGGCATGGAACTGGCGCTGGCCAGGGGGGATCATCCACGGGGACCGTGAAGATTTCTCGTTCCCATAGAGGAAGGGGTTCATCTGGTACGCTTTCTTCACTTGAGACTTCATCTAAGGATTCGTCCTCTGAAGCTGATTTTTCGGAATCTCCTTCGTTTACCTCTATCAGGGTTGATTCCGGAGGGGCGAAGGCTCCCGCAGTCTCACATGGCAGTGGCAAAGGAACTCGTACAGGAGTACTGATCAAGAATCTATGTGGCATCAAGAGGATAATTTTTATTTCAAAATTTTTGGAAGTCTTGTTCTATATAGCCGCTCCAAGACAACGTAATTATGCTCTTAATTGCGTACCACGAAGTAAAAAGGAGCAAAGACCCGCATCAAAACAATCAATGTGAAAAGGAGGTGCGATTTGAAATCGAGCGCGGCGCCACCGAAAAGGGATGAAAACAAGGATGAAACAAGGGTCAGTCCATTGGGCCAATAAGATCTGATGACCTAGACAGGCTTACTTGTCAGCTGATTCCGCAACTTGTGACTTTAGAGCATTACCTCCCCCGTTATTCTTCTTGTAGAAGTTATTCTTCCTAGCGAAGGTGCCAGTGGATCCCGAAGCTTCAGCTCCATTGGATTCTACAGTCAGGCAACGAGAAATCACTTGAAGGTCAGTGTAGGATCAACAAAGCAACTACACGACCAGGCGAGACTAACCGTCTTTGGACCCCTTGTTCTGAGCGTAGTTTCCCTTCTTTATGAAAGGCTTCTTACCGCCTCTCTTTCCTCGTTGGGTTGAGGAACCAACACTATTTGAGTTAGAGTGGGGCCCTTCTGACTTCCCTTGGGCTGAGGTTGAAGGAACGTCCACCGGTTCTCTTCCAGTTGCGAAATTGAAACCAAATTTAGGTTTCCAAGGCGCATAAGGGTTGTCGATGAAGCCTAGGTCATTCGCTCTCTCCGCTTCGCGTCTGGCAGTTTCTTCAACGGTAACTTGTAAGCCGTTTGGTACACGTAACTTGTCTTTCACAACCGTCTTGCTATTAACCTTGGACTTGATAAGCTTGCGGCGCCGAAAAATGACCGTTCTGATAGCTAGGTGGTATCGGAGAGCGACCATCCAGCAGTTGTGCTTTTTCTTTAGGCTCGAGACGATGAGTTTGTGGGATTTGACATAGTCAGCGTACGCCGTATGACCGTAGATCTCTCTTGCGTACCGTTCCTCAAGGTCACACATCTCTATGAACTCGCCATAGGTGATTTGTTTCTCTCTGGCCTTCTCAGTGGACGTCTCCGTAGACTTTGCCTTTTTCTTTTCTTCGTCATCCATATCGTGCCATTCATCGATGGACGACTTAACAAAGACGGTAAGAGGTACGTAATCACAAAGTTTCTTGAACCCTTTATCCCACTTGGTGGGCAGATCTGGGAGGTCGGCGGATGTGAAATCCACGGCTTCACACTCGAGTTCAGCCGCACTGATCGCTGAAGAGTCATCCGAGGAGGATGACTCAGAAGGGGTAGAGCTTCCATCTGAAGGTGGGTCGTCCTTTGACTTCTTAGACTTCTTCTTTTTCGACTTGGAGCGCTTTTTTGGCTCCTCGACTGGCATGTAAACGTCCCCGTCCGATGGGTCGGAGGGCGAGGAAGGCTCTTCACTGTCCTTAAAGGACTTCCTTTTCGACCCCGAGATTACTGGCGTACTCTCAACAGCGGAGCTTGGGATACGCGAGGGTTTGGACGAGGCCTTCGGCTCTGGTCTAGACTTCAGGATGGGTACCACCCCTGATGGAGGGTTCGACAAGACTGTCGACCCTGGTCTAGCCCTCGAGACGGTTACCGCCTTAGGGGGAGGGTTCGGATTATCGAAATGAGTCGTCCGCTTTAAGACTTCATCAATCTTTGCTAGAGTCGCTCTGGCCTCCTCGACGGTGCCGAATTCGACCGCATGGTTGAGTTCATCCATGATTGAAACGCCAGGTTGGAGGTCGGGGTCCGAGTCTTCTGCGGAAGGGACTGTGAACGCCAACAACCAAACAAAGGCCGACGAGAAACCATCAGTAAGATACTGTTTGATAAAACTCGATAAATGATAAAATCATAGAGGTTGGCGCTGATTGCTGCCTCCCTTTTGGGTTCTCAATAGAGGAAACCCTCTAGAGAAACGCGCATAATATCGCGGAAGCGGTCACGGCCTTGTGGTGACAATTCTAACAGGATGAATTGCATCACCCCCAAGGCTGTGTGGTAGGAGCGCGCCGACGGCAGCGTCTCCACCAATTACCGTAAAAAGGAGCGCTTTAAGCTGCAATCCCGTCAGATCCCGAAGGAAACTGACCCTGGCGCCTCAGGCAGCCAAAAAGCCAACACAGCCCTGGCCTGGGAGACCAACAATCTGAAGGAACTATGTGGAGGCTAGAAGGGGTTAAAAAGAGAATTTCTTTTTAGAAACTTACCCTTGATCCTGATATTCTTTTCAAGGCTTGGAACCCGTGAGCCGTCCTCTTTCAATAGGATCTTCTTCTTTAAAACTGACTTGAAATCAATCGGACCGCCTTCTGCTTCGGATGATTCATCGTCTCCCTCATCCCCTTTGGCGTCTCTCGGATCTTCTTGTTCAATAGGGTCGCCATCATTATCCGCAGTATGAGGATTAGTACCACCTCCCTCCGTCAGCGTGCTGTTAGGAAGCTGTGAGGACTGTGGAGCTCTGGATCCAGCCCGCTTTGCCCTATCTTCCGCTTGAACTCGTTCTTTCTCTGCTTGAATTCTCTTCTTCTCTTCCGCCTCTAAATGCATTTGATGCAATTTATTCTTGGATGCTACTAGTTTTTCTTTTTGATTTGAATCCATTTGAAAAAGGAAAGCGTGAAGAATATATTTAAGAGGGAGAGACCTGATTGACTATAGAGATATGAAGATGTTCGAAAAGTTTTCTATGAATCTGAAAGATCTTGAGAGAATAGGAAAAATGGGCGAAAGAGCTGATGGAGAGCAGAAGAGGGAGAAGAAGCTGAATTGGGAGAAGTGAAGGAAAAATTTTTCCCTTCTTCCGTTTCAGAAATAATTCTTCTCCCATCACGACCCCGTTACCCGGTTCCGTGAGCTGCCCCGCGCTCGTTTAGCCCGAACCCTTACGGTATGTAATGGACTCTAGATTACCGTCTCAGGCTTTGGGTAGACTAGCAATCAAATGGACAAGGCACAAGATTAGACTTAGTCAAGTCAAAGATTTAGTGGGGAAAAACTGGCACAAAAGAGAAACCTCTACAACAGAAGAGGTTATTGAATGCTGCTTGGGGAAATCAAAGGCCTGCTTGTTCCAAGCAACACACTTGGCTCAGATCCTTCACACCTTGCACCTTTCTCAAGATCTGATTGATGCCCAAAAAGCTTATATCCAATGTTCAAAAATCTAAAGAGGAAGCCAACATTACACAAAGACACAATTGTATGTAAAAATTGAAAAGACAGAATTTGCATGGCAAGGAAAACTTGAGAATGGCTCAAGATATAGAGGATCTGAATCAAGGGTCCTACTCAGACAAACCAGGACTTAGTGTTTGAAGCGAAATTCAGAAAGCTATCCTGCCGCAGAGTTCTTTCCTTTGGTCCACTGTTTGCCTACTAGACCTCATGACCTCCATTCCCAAGAAGGCCACAGTCGGCCTACATACGCTGGCTTCGCGTTTCAATGCCTGCCAGGAACTTTGTTAACTCTGGAACTAAACTTCTCAATTCGTGAAAAATCTGCTCCAAGTTCATTTTCTTTTTGTCGGTTCAAATTTAAACAATTTTGTCAAAAGAAAAATCAACAAAAACTGTTCAAGGTTGATCGACTTTTGTTGACAAAAAACCCTTATTGTCCATCAATCAAAACCCATCCCATACCCCCCAAAAACCCTTCACCCAATCTCAAACACTTATCTCCAAACCAAAAAAAAAGTATTCAATTAAAAAAGAAACCAGAAATCCTTTCCTTCTTTACTTGTTTCAACTTTTTTGCCTTTTTTGTTTTAAATTTTTCCAAAACACTTTACCTCCACTTGCTCCTTTAGCTTGAACATCATTCAAGAACTTCTTCTTGGCCCATTTCTTTGCTTCTTCATCTTCAATAAGTGCTTCAACACTATTCCAATTTCAAAAACAGAAACAATCCGTCAATAAACCAACTTCTTGAAGAAAAAATGAAATTGAAAACGAGGAGAAAACGAAAAAGACACTAACAAAGATCTTTTCTTTGGTATAGATTCTTTGGCAGTAGAAGAAGATTGACCCGAAGGAATTATATGACCGAATTGAAATCGATCAGGTATAGGTTCTTTTAACCTTTTTTCAATCCCACCCTTAACAAATCTTTTAGGATCCAATGTACCATGTAATCTAAACAAACCCCCCAAAAAACAAAATCAATCAGTACCCTGGAATTTTTACAGTTCCGCAAGAAATAGACTTACCTCATGGCTTGGATTTCTCTTTTAACTTCAGGTGTGATTTCTTGATAAGGTAAATCATGCCAACTCATCTTCTTTGCAACTTTATTATCACTCTTCTTTTTATTAGGTACCAAAGGAGGTGGCATCTTGCCAAATCTATCTTTTGCCAAGATAGGTAATTCTACAGGTTTAGTCGAATGAGGTGTAGGTTTACTTCCTGTAAGTGGTGCAAGTGAGTTGAGTATCAATGGTCTTGAAAGTCCAGACCTAAAAATCCATTTCAAAGAATCAACAATTAGGTTCTTATACACGAAGGTCATAAAAGAGGAAGACTTACTTCTTTTTAGTTGAACTTGAGGTTTCGAATAAGATTTTATCAGATCCATCTGTAAATTCAGGTAAGACTACCTTCTCACATTTATTTCTTGCCTTATTCAAAAGTTCAGATAAATCTGAATCTGAATCTGAGTCCGAGTCCGAGTCCGAATCACTATCACTCTCTTCAGATTCAGAGCAATTGGTCTTCTGTTGAGCTCCTTTGATATTCGATCCATCACAGCCACCAGTAAAAAAAGAATCGTTTTGTTCTACCTCAAACTCCGAATTAACTTGAGGTAATCCATGAACTAGATCAAATTCAGATCCAGATCCAACTAAAGTAGGTGTACAAAGATTATCAATTCTAAGTTCTTCTGTCCATCCTCCATTGGCAACAGACGATAAATTTGATGAAATTTGAGGCGAAATCGTTTCTTCTGTATTTCCATCTAATGTACCTGAAGTATCACTTTCGATCATCATTTTATCTTCTTCTACTAATTCCTTCGTAGCATCACCATCTTCCTCTATTTCCATGGTGTCTTTTGGTGGTAAGATCGGTAAAGAGGGTACAAGAGTTGATTGACAATCTGTTAAATCGAGAGCAAGACTTGTTCCTAGTTTGAGAGTGTTCTGGGTGCTGGTCTTGCACATAGTAGTTTGAAGAGGTGGTTCGGATGATGTTTGCTGGTCGGTAACGGATGAAGAAGTAGGAGAAAGCATGTCAATCTCTTCGTTCGATGAGGTCGTATGATCTTCGTTGGTCGTGGCAGGCTGAGTTTCCTTCACAAGATCTTCTGTGATACGTTCAGCTTCAGGTTCTTCTACAATAATACCGCTTGTACTCTCCACCAGAAGAATTTCAGTAGTTTCTTTCTCGGAATTTGGTGAAACATGGGCCGGCTCTGGATCGTTAACGATTTGTTTTGCAGAATTTGATTGATCAGCTTCCGGAAGTTGTGGGTTGATTTTTTCAAGGGTCTTAAGTGTATCAGGGCCAACATGTGGTTCAGGGCCGGGTTGTTGAAGTGCATCAGGTTCGTCTTGAGTGACATTTTCTTCTGGAGACTTCGTCAGAGGGTTTTCTGCTATACATTCGGACTCTGACTGTTCTACAACCAATGTCTGAGTTACTTCAGCCGCTTTATTGAGTGCTTCGGTTGGTATTTGATCATGAGGGACTTTTTGGGGTGATTGAGCTTGAGTGTCCACTGGTAAAGTTGATTTTTCGGTTTCGGGTTGCGCTTTTTCAGGCTCTCCATTTCTCTTCTTCGAGAGATCAGCTGGGGAGGTATCTCCGTCCTTTGTTCTTTCAGGCTGATTTTCTTGAGAATGAGTAGTCAAAATGTCTGCCGAATTCGTACCGTCGATTTCAGTTTCTTTTGTAATCAGTTGAAGCTCATTGGTCGACGATATTTCTTGATTCTGAGTATGAAGATCGGGATTAGGAATCGGAGTTTGATTTGTATTATTACGACTAGTTGGTGTTTTATCTAATTTGGAAGCCGATTTATTTTTCTTTGATGATGATCCTTTCTTAGGAGTTCTACGAGACCTTACAGGAGTTTTCATTTCATCATTTTTAGGTGAAATTGGATTTTGAAAGTTTGATGACATATTGATTGAAAAAGGACTTATAGGAGATCTAGGAGGAAGTTCGTTTAATCTAGAATTAATGAGAGAGAATTGATTAAGTTCGAGATTTTGATTACCAGAAGTAGGACTTGGTGGTGAACTAATAGTAGAAGTACTAGCAGTTGGTGACGATAATAAACTTGATTCAACACTCAATCTTCTTAGTGCAAGTACTCTATCACGAGCACTAATTGTACCTCCTCCTCCTAAACGATTACTTGAATTTGACGATAATAAATTGGATGGTCTGTTTGGATCTGGTAATGGTGAAGCTAAAGGTGTTCCTAAACGTGATGAAGATGCTCTAGTCAAGACCATTACGTTTTTTTATGATCGAATTAGTTTTCTATTTTTTTGACTTGGACCGAGTCTAGAGCGAATGAAAACTAATCAAAAGGTTAAGCTTCATTCAATTCAGTAGAAAGCTTTCTTATGATCGAAAGTCCAAAGTGAAGTGAATAGTGATACTGAGTTTGAAGGTGGTACTGGTGAATGTTTTGTAAAGTGGTGGATTGGAAATTCAAAAAAACTCGATCGATCAAAAAAATCAAACTACGTACATATGTATAGGTTAGGTTAAATCACATGTATTGTGCGGGGCTGGGACCGGGACTGGATCTGACCCAAAGGCTTGTCACACAGATCTCGGGTCACGCCTCGGCCCAAAGTCTGAGCTTTTGACGGGGGATGGCTTAATCCTAATGTTCTTTTCTTGAACTGTTTGAATATTGTTTTATGCAATAAAGCAAATAAATACTTTTAAAAACCAGAGGGTGAGATGAGGTCTCTAACTAGCTCCTAGGAAGCAGCCCAACACAAGATCTCTCAAGATTTAAAGATTCATATCTGAATCTTGAAGTTATGGGGGCAAAGAAAAAAGTCTTTTATTGATATCATTCCAAGCAATGCTTATGGAACAAATTCCAGAGTTCCTTGTATCTGCTCTTGATCCAGCTCCAGATAGGATTCACATATGGAAACTTATACACCATCCATTTTTCATCTGGTAATTGAAATCATTGAGCTTTATTTCGCAGATAACTACAAAATGTTTCCCATTTTTAGGCGGATGAACACGATACTTCAACTTTAGAAACTCAAATAATCTGGATGCAAGACCCGAGAACCGCGATCAATGTATGGGAAGCCATATGATTTACCATCAAGCCCCACAAAATTCCGCTGAATATCAGGCGTTCTACCATAAACCTGCAAGTTTGCAAAGCACGGTTGCACTTCCCTCGAACTCCAATGTAAGACAGCTCAATTCTGTTGTATTCCACAGTCTTTTACAAATGGATTGAAATTCAGATGAATTGCCTCTCGCTCACGCCTGTGATATACTTCGACTTTTGAACTTCAGACAGGATCCAATTATTTTCTGGTAGGTTTTTGCATTATCTTTCAGGAAGCTAAAACAGTGTTTTGCAGGGCTAGACTGACAATTCAATGCTTGTACGCCTTTTCGTAATCATTGGTGAGACGAGAGACAGAGTAGAGGAAGAGTGTCCTTAATAGACGTCAAAATTCAAGTGAACGCATGTCGTGGAAATTGACTGATTCCAGATACAACAGCGGGTAACTGTTGCGATCACAAAATGATAAAAAAACAAAGTCGCATAGACGGGAGTGTGTGTAGAGACAAAAGTCCTTGATATATCAAACTTCACTAAGTCCAAAATCTCGTGCGCGGGGTTTGAACATAGCAAGCGATGACCGAGGCACGAGGGACTTACGAACTTCCACAGTTAACGGGCGTGAACAGTTTGAGACTTTAGTAGGGAGAATCTTGCTTCTCAATTCCTCGATTTTTTCCCTTGTATCTAATGTTAAAAAATCATAAGGTCATCAGCGGGGCCTTCTTCTCTTTCCTTTGCTCTATTCATTTTTTTATCTGTCCTCTTTCATTTTTTTTTCTTTTACTCAAGAGTTGATCCATTGAAATTTCAAAATCAACGGCTGCTGCGAGATTATTACAGAGACATACATGCTCAAAACCGATTTCGTAGGGAGCAACACTTGAGTTGTGCTGAGCGATAGAGTTTGAGGATGTGTATAGAAACGCAAAAGAAAAAAGGACAAGGAAAGAGTTCAGCTCGAAGTGAATAGCTGCCTCTCAAAGTTTGTCACCAACTTACCAGTTTCCCTCTGCGCCGCAAGCAACATGAGTAATTCGTCAAATCGCAACACTCTATCTTCCAAATTAATCAACATTTGCGAGCATATCAATTCCCTTGGACTTGATCCCAAGAAGTTTGTTCAAGGAATGCTGACTTCTACGGACTCGGGAATTGCCAAGAGACGCGGCACTTGGGGCACTGAATTTGGCTGGGTTTCAACAAGCGAAGTTTTAACAGGTTTCAAGTCCTTGATATGTCGGGATACAAATGGTGGAAAGGATAGATGGAAAACCTTTATCTTAAAAGAGGTCTGTTAAGACATACCTTTTGTTTTTCAAAGATTGATTTCGTGCTGTTTTTTTGTTGAATGACAAAGGCAAAGCAAATTATCATCCGAGAAAATCTTCCAAGTGGACAGCCACCTGCTGGCATGTTCTACGATTCAAAGCATATCACTCACTCTTTCTTTGAACCCGAGTCTCAGGACCTTTGTGATGATCTGGTTTCCTCGCACATGTCTTTCCTGCATGATCTTATTCTAGCAAAGCTGGAGCATGCTTGTGATCTTCGAGAAAAGGACCGGGCAAAGAGGAAGTCTAAAATAGAGCCATCAGATGACGAAGAGGACGAAGAGGACGTACCAGATGAAATAGATGAAATTATAGAGTTGGAAGACGGCGAAGACGAGCCAGGCTCAGTAACCACCAAAAATAAGTATAAAGTTGAAGCCCATCGAATTAAAAAGGTGTGTCGAGTTATTTTCCTTTGAGGCTTGAAGAATTACAAGAACACTGCTGATCACAGTGAGGTTTCTGATCAGCTTCCCATCACAATGTGTTCAATGCTTGCTTTTGCTTGCAATTGTGCACATTGTGGTTTACAATTGGAGAACACCATCACATTTTTATCCTGTGGCGTGTCTCAGAAAGTCAATGATTACCTACATTTCCTTGGTCTCACATCCTCGCGTAAAACAGCACTCTCAGCCTTGGAAACACTAAAACACGAAACAGAGAAAAGGATCAAGGTGATGGGTTCTAAAGCGTCCAAATTCCATCCTATT